GGGGCCGGTTTCACAAAGCAGTAGTTAGTTAGAACAACTAACTACTGAACTACCTCGCTAACGAGCAAACTTAGCGATTTTCAAGGGGTGTTTCACGAAGCAGTAGTTAACTCATCGCTAAGTTCAGTCGTAAAGTTCGGTCGTTAGTTCTCTCGTTACTCACCGTAGTCTCGAAACCGTCTGCCGGAAGTGGAACTCTTGCGTAAAAGTGTCACGAAAGCACTAACTCTCCAATTTTTAGTGGCTGGAAATGCATAAGAACGTCTGCTTTGAGGTCGTCGTAAAGAATCTCCACCACCTTTTTGCCGCTCTTTTTGTCACAGCTAGGCACAATCTCTCGTAAATTGCATCATCGTGTGTATATTCTAATAGATTCTGCCTTTCATGAAAACGCCGTAGTCTACGTTGCCGTCTGGCGGTACGGATAGCAAGAAAGGTAGCCGCCATATTGGATACAAAGACAAACGACAGACAACGGTAACTAAGCAACCTTTTTATTTCACTCATTACGCATGCGTACGATGAAACTCTAGAGTTAAATATCCAAGGCAACAACGAGACAATAACGAGCGAGAGAACTAGCGACTGCTTCGTGAAACGGCACTATAACTAGCGAGAGGCTAACTACCGATCGCTAACTAACTACTGCTTTGTGAAACCGGCCCCTGGCTACTTGGTCAGCAACTCTGTCCTCAGCTGCTAACTGCCCCTGCCTTGCGTTTGGAGTTCTTTTTAACACCCTCGGACGTCTGGCCCTCGGCGCTATGCCATCCCAGACTACACCTCTATCAACTAATCGGATCTTATCTCTATAAACTACTGTGGTCTTACCGGTCTGTTGGTTAATTAGCCAGAATACGTTATTTCTATGGCGCGTCAAGTGCTGTCCATTGGGGGTCCCACTTTGATCCAAATGTAATATTATCAGGTGCATATATGATCACACTATCACCCACCTCAATCTTGTTCGCGTTTGCCTTTGCGTCATACCGTCTTTTGTTTTCTAATCGGCCTGCTTGTAAATTGTCGCGCGCGGTGATCAGGGCGTCTGATAAGTCACTTAAACGGCCTTTTAGCGCGAGGGGGTCATTAGACACGTTAAAGGTTGCCGACAGCGGCATTCGCGGTCTTCTTCCGTACACTAGGAAGAATGGGGTAAAATTTGTGGCTACCGATACGCTGGTTCCATAAAAAAAAGCGCGTTCGCGATGTTTTCCTCCCATGCTCGCGTGTTGTTATTTACAACTCTGGTTATCAAGCCCTTGAGTGTTTTATTGAATATTTCTACTTTCCCGTTACACCGCGGATTAAAACTCGTGGTTCTCCTGTGATCTATTCCCAGGCCTTGCAAATATGAGCGAAATTCGTGCGCGCTAAATTCACTGCCTCTGTCCGATATTATAATTTCGGGCACTCCGTGTCGCGGAAAAATTTCCGTAGCCAGCGCGGCTTGTACTGATTCGGATGTTTTATTGGGAATGGGAAAACTTTCGGCCCAGCCACTAAGGTGACAAACAACGTTTAGACAATATCTGTTGCCTCGCGGAGACTCTTGGAAAGGACCGATTAAATCCATACCAATTATCTGGAATGGGTACGCGGGTAAAGGTAACTCGCCCAAGGTGGTTCTTTGCGGTCGCGTTTTGTGTACCAGACTCGTGGGACATTGTTTTATCCATCGCGTCACATGCTTTCTCATTCCCGGCCAAACGTACGCGTGAGTGAAAGCTTCCTACGATTCAGTACGTTCAGTACACAATGATGACTGCCGAAATTGATAATGCCAACAATTTAGCTTGGTTCCCGATCTTAACGTCCTTTTGCGTGTGTGTACAGTGTACCTTGATAATCCAAGCTGTCTCCTCCATGTCTCCCAGGTCAATGTATGTGTGTGTGTGTGTGTGTGTGTGTGTGTGTGTGTACCTTGATAACTCTAGCTGTCTCCTCCATGTCTCTCAGATCAGCTACTGTGTACATATGGTTAGACTCAGGTGCCGGAGATAACTTTTTACACTCTGCGATGACCTGAAACCGTTATTATGGAAAGATGTAAATGACACTCAACTGATTATTCAAATAACAACCCCAATCTGTAAGTTATAGAGCAGCTTGTGTAAAGACAAATAAAATGTTAATAAAACACATTGCCTTAGATACGAAATGAGAAGTTATACCGGCAACTGACCTTTTTTAAGAGATTTTCTCTGCGCGCCGTCAAAACAATGTTTGCTCCCATCTTGGCGAAATGATACGCCACCTGTTCTCCAATTCCAGAGGACGCCCCGGTAATGAGCACTCTCTTGCCTCTCACCATGGCTGTGATAAAACCGATATGCTTATATCAGCCTATTATCATTTTGATTTCTGTTATAAATCTGGAAATTTAATAAAGCACTGGTATTTTTTTTTTAATTCATGTGTAATGGCAAAGTTTCATGTGGCTTTATCTTGGGCAGACGAAGTAGATTGTATTTATGATTTTGAAGGCAAGGAAAGAAATGGTACGAAATTCATGCGTTAGCACTCCTTTTTGCGGTTATAAATATGTGTTTTCTGGTTGTGTTTACGTTATTTAGTGCAGAGAGAGAGAGAGAGAGAGAGAGAGAGAGAGAGAGAGAGAGAGTGGTGCACAAAATATGATCGACTTTAGTTTTTTCAGCATCACCAAACTAAGTTGGTCTAACTAAAGTCATTAATCGTTTACGCACACACAGATTACAAATATCAGGCCCATTTCAACCGTGTAGAGTACAGTAGACGATATGAACATGTACATCAGACTTAGATAAGGACCTGCAAAGACCGTTCATGCCCACCAGGATTGAAATCATCCACGTAGAGGGAGGCGATGTAGACGGCAGCAACAGTGAGGAGGACAGCAACCAGTGTTTTTGTCTTGGAACCCATGTTGAATTATTTCTCACGTCCAGTTCTCAAACAAAGAGCATACCAGTACACGATAGCCTCTGCATCCCTGAGTGACCTTTTAATGTATTCCCGGCCTACTCCCCGTTCTACCAGTAGCATTGAGACCTATCATTATTAAACTATGAACATAACATTACTGATCAGGTCAGGTTAGTACATAAGATAACAGGTACGTGTGAGGTACACTGGCTGACAGGAGTCTAAAGTCGACAACACTGCTGGTTTGTACAGGGGGGGGGGGGGGATAAGACTGGGTCTGCTGTGTTAAATTCTATTTAGGCACATTCAACTGAAACACTTATCATACATATTATTTAGATATTTATATTTTTATTATGAATACTGCGGATATTAAGAGGACATGTGGCATTCACTAACAGTTAACATTTAAAAGGTTAATTGAATAAGACTGGAGTAGCCAACACATGTGGCTAGTGGTGGTATGTGTTTGGTGATCATCATGTACGTCTTGCGTACACACAGACACTTGTGCGTTCTTGTTTATGTTACCTGGTTCAGACAGGACAGGTGGTAATAAAGTGGATATGTATAGACAGTTCAAAAGGAAAGAACGATGTAATACACAGTCTCCAATCGTTTGTTTTTGAAGAACTATAACCTTGTTCAAATTCATAATAGACGTCGCTTTCTCTTATATACCATCAAATATAATGTTTATTTATTTTTACCGTCCCAAATCCAAAATCGTGTCAGAATCCTATCCATCATTGTGATCACAAATCCTTGCGATATCATTTATTGTTACTAGTAACAAATACAGTCACTGGATTCATGCGGGAGTCGATGTTGTACTTGTAGACCCGTGCTTTGCTGGCTTCAGAAAGTCATCATGATGAATTGCTGAAAAACAAAGGAAAACGTATAGTATGAATATATATATATATATATATATGTGTGTGTGTGTGTGTGTGTGTGTTATGATAGCCACCAAGCAATTTAAAGAAACTATTTAAAAGGATAGCAGTTCTTAAAAATGTCCATTGATTAATTGCTGCTGGAACAGAATGTTCTGAGAATAGTCTCTCATTGTAATAAGAACTAATACGACTAATAATGACAAAAGGTTTAAACAAAATAAAATTGAAAGCATATCTGGAACGTGCTTGTATTTCGTGGTATGAGCGTTAAACACGCTAAAACAATATTGAGAGCACCAGTGGAATTTGTTAAGTGCAGTATTTTCCTGTCAGCAATCAAATCCTCCGAAAGTAGAAATGTTTCCTCAAATGCAAATTGAGGATGCAAAATATTTTTTGGTAGAAATACGAATCTTTTGAATAAATTCTCTCCCCATTCAATTCCAGATAAATCATTTATGCGTTCTACTAAAACAATAATTATTCATCATAATCCCTGTGTTGATCTTGTTTTTAAAATTCTTAAATTAGGCTCAAATGTATTTATAAAGATCAACTAAAATTACACATGTAGATATAAAACACCCACGCTTTCAGCAAAGCGCCTTTTCCAGGTACTGTTTAAGCATAATTTTAACATTAAAGCCACCTACAGTCACAATCAACATCAAAATGGAAGGACCTCCTTAACTCTCGAGAATGCATAAATAAATATCCAAACAGCGCACCTGAAATTAAGAATACATAAGGCATGTTAGCGACATTATGATAGGCTCCAACAAACATATGCTTGTGGCATTATGATAGGCTCTTACAAATATGTTAGCGGCATTATGATAGGCTCTTAAAAATGTGTGAGCGACATTATAATAGGCTCTTATACACATGATAAAGACATTATGATAGGCTCTAAGAAACATTATAATAGGCTTTAACGATCACTGGGAGGGTCTACAGTCTATCGTATATTTAGCTGCTATGCCCCGATATTCAACCAGATCCAAAAATAAAAACAAGGCAGCAAAGCTGTCCAATACACAGACAGAAATCAGAAAATAATAATTCACAACATTTTAATTTTAACAATAAACTATATAATTTCCAGAAAAGTTGACAGGTTTTTCAGTTGTAGCTGTATTTTAGTCCTGTGTTACCTTTCTGTAAGTTTGAGAAGAGTAAGTGACATGGTTTTCCTTTAATGGTCACTATGGGGGCAGTGCCTACTTAATTTTTAATAAAATAAAAGTATCATGAATATTCAGAAAATGTGACATGGAAAGGTCTTCAAGGCCATGAAAGTTCAGAGTCACACCTTGAAAATGCCAAAATGTAAACTGTGATAAAATGAGTTTATTTCCATTTTCAACATCTTTTTACATAAAACAAAATAATTATTTTACTGTCATTTTTAAAAGATCATCTAAGAAAATTGTTGACATAGGGAAAATATCAATAGAAAAAAATTAAATGTCCACTGCTGCATTCTGAGATTCTGAACATGGTAAATGATTGAATCTGACAAACGTCTATGATATGAGTTTATTTCCGTTTTTAAAACTTTATTGCACAATATACAGTAACAGGTTTACCATCATTTTTATGTAATCAACTAACAATATTTTTAAGATGGAGAAAATGTCAAAGGAACACTTGTGCATATCTAATAAGTAAAAAAATGAGACTGTTAACAGGCCTAAGACTTAACTCTGAGGCAGAAAACACTCCTGTCAAAAAAAAAAAAAATAATAATAATAAATAAATAAATAAATAAATAAATAAAAATAAAAAAAGGCATAACTTCACCAAAACTTTTGTTTCAAACTGGATCTGTATTTCAGTAACATTGATCATTCCTATGAGTTGTAAGACAATAGGCTTTTCAGATTGCCTTGAAATGTGGTATCGGTGTTGCATATGTGCTGAAAAAAGATATATATATATATATATATATATATATATATATATATATATATATATATATATATATATATATATATATNTTTTAAATGATCAAACAAGAAAATTGTTGACATAGGGAAAATATCAATATTAAATGTACATTGCTGCATTCTGAGATTCTGAACATGGTAAATGATCGAATCTGACAAACTGCTATGATATGAGTTTATTTCCGTTTTTGACACTTTATTACACAATATGCAAAAAACAGGTTTACCATTATTTTTATGTCATCAACTAACAATATTTTTAAGATGGAGAAAATGTCAAAGGAACACTTGTGCATATCTAATTAGTTAAAAAAATGAGACTATTAACATCCCTAAGACTTACATCTGAGACAGAAAAAAAAGCATAAATATATATAACTTTTGTAAAAATGGTTCGATCAAGCTGATTTTAAAACTCCACCTGTATTTAAGTAAGATTGTTCACTCCTGCACTCCTGTGAATTTCAAGACAATAAGCCAATTTAAAACCTTTGGCCTGTGGAATTTATTTAAGCCATACAAGATACTAGATACTAGATACCAGATACTTATATGCATTATTGGGAATCCACGCTTCCCCAAATAAATAAATCACTCCATCAACCATAAAATAGCTTTAAACTACTCATTTCTTTAACTTTTCGGTCATAAATTTAACCTACTTGCCAGTATCTGACCTAATTATCTACACTCTTCATATACAACAGAGAAAGCTAGCAGCAAAATCTGTTCAAATATCATTTTTCGGTGAATATTAAGCAATGTCTTTTGGTAATTTCTTATTTATACTATTTGAAATTATCTGCTGGTATTAGGTTGGCTTTTGTGGCAAAAATTGACTTTGTATATGTATGCATCTTTAGGAGTCTTTGCCTTCCTATAAATTGTGATGGTGCTTTGTAAGTTAATGTTTCATGAAATCTTTCCTAAGATACTTTGTATTGTGGTTGAAGGAATCTGTGACGGAACAGATTTATATAAACAATACTTCAATATATATTGTATTTCTGGTCTTAAATTCCCCGTTGGTGTCTATTATTATTATTATTATTATTATTATTATTATTATTATTATTATTATTATTATAGATTTTCTTTCTGTCATGATAGACGCAAACGCGGTGCTCTGTTCCTGCGCCAAACCTGATAACCTTCCCCTTTACCGGCACTACCAATGTTGTCTACCTATATTTTCCATTCAAGTTTCGATCTGCTGTCGGGACCCACATCATGTTAAACCAGGCATGGTTCTTAGTAGTTCTATACATGTTTCCACATAACAAGGACTGAACACATGCTGATATACACTGTAGATCCTGTGGCACAACCATCTGTATACATGCATTTATGGATATTTTAAGTAACTGGGTGTTTATGTGAATCACTATCATTCAGTTCATGTACACTTTGGGTTAAAACACAAACTAATGCACACACGCACATACAAACACACACACACACACACACACACACACACACACACACACAGAGAGAGAGAGAGAGAGAGAAGGTGGGGAGTGAGAGAGAGAGAGCATTACAATCACCTGTCCTTTTCTTCACTGGAGCAGCTGGAAAAAATGTGATAAACATTTTTTAAAACAAAATAACTGTTGAATCCTTCAAGAGATTCCAGTAGAAACTTTCTTTTTTTTCTCTCTCTCTCCCTCTCTCTCTCTCTCTCTCTCTCTGTGTGTGTGTGTGTGTGTGTGTGCGTGTGCGTGTGTGTGTGTGTGTTTCACTTACCGGAAGATATCATAGCCAGGGTCAGGAGACAGGAGAGAATAATAACTGCAGTGACTTTCATCTTTATCTGATATGCAGAGTGCTGCATATGGAAACGTGGTACAAGATAAAATACACATCAACGTTTGCGTTACAGGCGACAGATGCAAACGGATTTTAAAAAAATGCTGGTGCACCTTAATGTCGTTTTCATGTCTCCATACTGGTATTTATTTGTCGTTTGTTGGGAAGTTAGCTTCAGTATAGTAGGTCTTGTATTGTAAATGTTTCTGTGGTCCTCCAATATCTACTACATGTTGGCATAGTTGTGATACTACATTTTCAGTTGACTTTCACGGTCCACATTTCAGTCCGCTAAAAACTGGTTTTATTATTACAATGTGACTGTACCAATTTTGACACCACAGCCCCTTACACCATAAACCATTTGGCCAAGAAGCAATCACTTTAAAAGGGAATATCAGTGAACAGTTCCACAGATTATCTATATTCCATAAACTCTATACTTATCTGGTGGCCGGCATGAAGAATGAATGTAATTTATAACGACAACAAAGATTACTGATACTGCGATGAAAACTACTAAGTACCTGCATCAAAAATAATATAAATTTGATCATACATATGTATATCATGCTTCTGAAAACCTACATATTTTCAATTGAACACATTTGCTATTATATATCTTCATGACGCTATAAAACAATTGCAAACTGAATCCGATTTGCATCTCTTAAATAGAGATTTTTAAATTTAAGAGGGTTGATTTTTGTTTCAAAATAAATAGTTCCTGTTTTTATTACTCTAACATATTTCAATGTTAGAGTAATAAAAATGAAAAACTTTAGAGAAAAATTCTTCTAGGCCTGTTGTCCAATTCATCCCGTTGAATATTTCAGTCTATGTATAGATTATTGCTCATAAGGTCTGGTGAGTATATAACATTACAGGCACGTGTTGGAGACAAAGATTACAGTACCGATGGCCATGCAAGGGAGGGGACGCAAAATAACACACACAACAACACACAATAACACACCACTCGAAAGCATCGCGAATTGCGACCGCACGCAAGTATAGCGATCAATCGCTATTTGCGACGGCGATTGTACTCACCTGCCAACTCAAAGCCCTAGCAAACGCAACGCGATTACAGCCTCGAACGCTACTAAAATTCGATTGCCGCATAAAGTGAAGACGCCATAACGTAATTACACACATTGTAATTTCATGTCAGTATGGTGCTAACCAAGATAATTTATAAGAATATCACAATTACAAATACCGATCTCTGAAGTGTTTGACACCAATAAAATATCAAAAACAATTCAATAAGCAAAGGACACGTGTTTGGACTGATACAATTATTGAAACATTGGTGAGCAGTGTTCAGTCTCAACATCACAGACACTGAGAAAGGTCTATAGTTTCAAAATAAAGTTCATATTCAAGGTTTAAGTATGATACACTTACACAAACTAATAACAACATATACACCAGAAAGCACTGCACCATTGTGTTGAGATAGATAAAAACTTTTGAACTTGGCCGGCTTTTAGTTTTCAGTTTATTTAAACTTGCTGATACACGTTGTGGTATAGCCAATTAGCCAATAAGCAGATAAGACAATGAGCCAATAATCCGGTCATTAAAATTAAACACACACACACACACACATACTTGTCTATGTGTANCAAAATATTCAGTGTGCTACAATAACATTACAGGCACGTGTTGGAGACAAAGATTACAATACTGATGACCATGCAAGGGAGGGGACGCAAAATAACACACACAACAACACACAATAACACACAACTCGAAAGCATCGCGAATTGCGACCGCACGCAAGTATAGCGATCAATTGCTATTTGCGACGGCGATTGTACTCGCCTGCCAACTCAAAGCCTTGGCAAACGCAACGCGATTATAGCCTCGAACGCTACTAAAATTCTATTGTCGCATAAAGTGAAGACGCCATGACGTAATTACACATAATGTAATTTTATTTCAGAATGATGCTTATCAAGACATTGTTTTAATTCATAGGAATATCACAATTACAAATATTGATGTTTGAAGTGTTTGACACCAATAAAATGTCAAAAACAATTCAATAAGCAACGCGCACGTGTTTGGACTGATACAATTATTGATACATTGGTGAGTAGTGTTCAGACTTACTTAAACAGACAATGAGGAAGGTCACGGTGTGATGGAATTCTTTGTTTCTTTCTTTTTTTTTCATTTTGTGTAGAAAATGACATTTTTAAACTTATGGTTATAATCAATAGACTACTCAAATGAATATTCATCAGAAGATATAAAATGATATTTGAAATATTTAATTTTGAAAAAATATGCAGAATAAAACATGAATTTGGCATTCTTCACGTGAATATTTACGCAAGTTTTTTTTTTTTTTTTCAGAAGTACAGAGTGACTCATTATTTTATAAGCTCTCATGTTTTGTAATATGCTATTAAGACTGGCAACCCAAACTTGTCGGTATGATTAATTACACTAAAGACTCTATTAAAGGGAAATGTATGCATGCGCAAAGGCCATCATACCTAATGGGATTTACTCGTCACAAATAATAGCCTGTAAACTGAAGGTGATGTCGCTATTAGCGCTCGGTCGTGATTTGCGATGCTTTCGAGTTAAGGGATAGCGACAATCACCATACTTGTGCTCGGTCGCAATTTGCGATGCTTTCCAGTTACTGACCCATGATCTACAAAATTTCTAACAATTATCATTTATCAATTGTAATAAATACTACAAATATTAAGATAGCATATGGTATTCACTTACAGAAGATAGAAACAATTGTTTCATTTGAAGAACTATAAACCTTGCTTAAATTCAAAACAGAAGTCTTAATATGATGATCATATACCACCAATTATTTTCCGTATATCATCCAAACGGATTACAATCTATCACTGGAATTAGATTTCTTAACATTTTTTTTGAAAAGATACCATTTTTCAGATTACACTCTAACTCCGCACATATCAAGATTTCAGTTTTGCCAACTCGATCTTGATTTCATATATAACCCATATCAGCAAACTGGCTCTAGCCACTACCGTCAACCTGGAGGCGTGTCCGGCAAAATTTTGCCTGGGGCGCTTCCATATTTGGAAGGCACAAGTCTCGTACGACACAGTTGTATCCGCCTGGAGCTCCATATTTGGAAGTCATTAGTCTCGTACATCACAGCTTTGACCGCCTGGAGCTGCCTTTCCCGCCTTGCGCTGACGTTATATCGTTCAGACTAGAGAAGTAGCACAGTGGCTGGTACGGAGTTGGAAATTTGAACTAAGAATATCTTGCACTGGAAGGTCAGTACCACAACACAAGCAACATTCTTTAAAAACTAATTTTTGGTGTAGCCATTGTGCAGTCCTTATAGTGGTATCGGGCATACAATGTAGCTGTCAAACATGGCACAACACGACAGGCACGTGTTTTGTGTTTATATCTTCAGAAGCAAATGTTTTTTGATAAGCAAAAAATGCAAAAACATCCGGTGTATCTTTTTCTTTTAAAATGTATTTATTTTTCAATTTACCTTGTACATCTTACATACAGTAAATGAAATTAAATAAAGCAAAATTAAATCTGTTTTACGTTTCATATTGGACTATGCGTGTGTGTGTGTGTGTGTGTTTGTGTGTGTGTGTGTGTGCACGAGAAAAGACAGAGATCTTGAAATCATGAGCACATTTGAACTGGCCTTTACAAGGTGACAACAAGTTTGTAGAACACGACACGGAGGCTGCCCTAATCTTACACTTNTTATAGCCATCAAAAGAGAGCGCTACAGTGTGGACAAATATGATGATGAACAAGTACTTCATCATGAACGATGCGCTGGTCGCAACGTTGTGGTGACTGCTGTTCATTGGACAGGGAGTGATCGGCCCTATTGTCTCACGTAGTGCATCCCAAGAACATCTCATATGGCAAACGAAAGAGAGAAACCGTATATGAAAATGTGTCAGAGCCATAATAAGAGAGTAACAGATTTAAACATCTGCGCAGAGAAAACTATTAAAAGTATCTGTACTCTTGGGCCGCACATTATAACATGTAAATGCACATCCACGGAAAATCATATTTCCTAAAGAGTTATCAATCTATCTTCCTTTAAGTTATATTTGGGGTTTCATGTCAATTTTATTTCTATCTTATAGTAGGTTTATAATACAAAATCTATGTACTTAGTTTTGTTTTGCATGAATTTATGATAAAAGACAAATGCAGTGTTTAAGAAAGTTTATTTTTAATTAATGTATATTTTAATTTTAAATATGCCTGGGGACAGGCATATCGTCCCCGGGAGATAATGTAACGTTAGTACGTGACAGCATGCAGCGAATAAGAGCGGGGAGTGTTTGTAATGTCACTTTAGTTGACTGACACGACCTTATTGTACTTAAGCGAAGAATGTAATGTAGACGGAGAGAACGATGTAAGAGGTTGAACGTAGAGGAATAAACTGTAGATAGCGTAGTTAGAAAGCGATAATAAAGAATATGGGAAAACATGGAATTGTTTAGTTATTACCTCGCGCCACCAAGACAAAGTCAGTAACGTCGTCACACAAGGTGTGAGGGAGAGGAGCATGTCGCAGTGGAAGAAAAGACAGAAGAAGTCACTGTAGAAGATGGAAGGGACAAGGGAGCTTCACAGGAAAATGGAGAACCCCTGGTCACAACCAGATCAGGAAGGGTGGTGCGGCGACCCACCAAATACAGAGACTTTGTGGCAGCTATTGGAGATGGCTACTGACAGATTAATACAGATTATAACTCTTATGAATAGCATTTTTTTGGGTTTCATCAGTTATTATTGTTGTTGTTTATATGCATGTTAATGTTGGACAAGTTAGTTGTTTTTGACAGAAGATAGAAAAAAAAAACATTTTACCTGGAACTTTTACTGTTAAACGAGACATTTTACCTAGAACTTTTACTGTTAATAGTGTTGATATTAATGTTGTGAACTGTTTCAAGGATTTAGAGTGTTGTTTAGTGTATTAGGACTTAGTTACAGTCGGGAGTAACTAGGTCGGAGACTCGGGACGAGTCTTATCTGCCCGGGGAGGCATGTAACGGGGTAAATATAGTGCCGGTGTGCATAAACCGGGGTAGCGTCGGCGGAAAAAGGAATATGGCGGCGTAGCAGACGATGAGCAGCTTGTGCACTTAGTAGCGTAAATATATCGTTATCTTATTAAATTCATGAAAAAGAAATCACAGTGTTGTTATTCTGAATTGTGGAGAAATTGCACCGCTACACTGATAAGGTGTTTTCGAGTGACAGAGATATAGACAGTGGCGATGATATTCCTTTATTCATGATATAAGTTTTAAAGATGTTTTTGTCATAAATGGTGTTGAAATTCGACTTCTACTCAGCTCTGGCCACAATGTTCAGGTGAGCTGAAAAGCTGGCTCAAGTATACCTGATAGCAAAACGAGCATAACTTATAAACTATCGGAGGTAACTTGCTGAAATTTCCTGGATTGAAAGTTACTATAATTGACATCATTTCTGTGAACTTTCAGCCAAATACATGGAGAAATAAAAAATTAATGTGCATAAGATAAATCAACTTTGTTTTATTTCACCCATTACTAAATAAAAATGTAGTTTTTAACCGGCCATAACTCTTGATACTGCATGTTGAATTTAAATGTGATTCTATTTTCATTTAGCTTGAACTACATTATTTTGTTACAATATGATCGATCTATCAACATAAAACGTGTCACAATTACTAAACTCCTTATTCAGGGAAAAATTAAAGTTAAAGCGTTGACAGCACGTCGTGTCCAGGTCCACTTCTGTATTTTCTTTTCCTGAGGACGCTCAGTGGCACTCCCAGGACACCCAGCTCTACTATCATTGCCGGGCAATGGCGTCTCATTGCCTTATCTAAATATTCTATTTGTAAGTTTGTGCGATACAACTGTTGCGTTTGCGAAATATATTCTGGGATTTGCTTCTCCTTGTGGGTCAAAATTTAGATCACACTTATTTCTCCATAGAATAAAACAATTAATTCACAAATTTGTGTTGTTTAGGTCATTTTATAAAATACACATCTACAAGGAAAATTTTCTATCAAGCAAAAAGCAAGGTAAACTAAATTAAATTACAG